TGTTGACAAAACAGCTGGTTAAACTGTCTGTCAATCAAATGATTTCTCATAAATACTAACCTGAAAGTGCGAAGCCTACATCTCTGACTTTTCTAAATCACACGTTGGTCAAGGTGGTTCATATGAGGAAACTTATCTGTGAAGTTGATAAGTCACAGTCATTTACTTCTGTTCCCACACGGCCACTGATGGAAACTGATCTCAGAGCAGTGAAACCAGAGCAGTAGTTTGTCTAGCACATTGATCCCCCATCGGTTTCACATCAAACCTGCTGGGTTCTTAGCTTGACAGGGTCCAGCTGTTGTTTACAGGACACACACATGTCCATGAAATCAAAGGAAGCTAAAGATTCCAGTGGCCCCATAAAGCAGAGTTAAGCCTGCTTCCAGAAACAATAGCCAACTGCTGCCACAAGATGGCAGTAATTTTAAGGATGGATGCAAAATGACAGAATGTTTTATAACAACACAGTTTGAAATGAAAGTAGAAAGACTGATTTGACCTTGGAAAACTTTCTTTAATATCTATTTTTAGATTTCACCAGACAGGCAGTGCTTATTTCGAAAAAAATGTCAATAGTTCTAGTTTATCTGTTATATTTAGCCAGCGGTTTACTTTCTTTATCCATACTAAGAACTGTAAGTGTTAGCTTCAACGTTAGTTAATAATTTTGGATTTTTCAGCCAGCTATGTAGCTACTTTTCTGCAAGCTGTCAGGTCTGTTTAGCTAACAGTTTAATCTGTTTAAGCTGATTTTAGCTAATGATTACAGCAAAGGTTTAATCTATAATTGTATCCAGTTGTTACAACTGCTCACCCCAATAACTGTATAGCATAATATTTTAGCTGTTAACATCTATCCTTTTGTTAGATATTGTAACTGCAAACTATTTAGCTAATGCTGCACTAATCTATGACTTTTTTCTTGTTTGGCTAACTGTTTAGCCTATTTGATGTCAACTGCTAACCATAGTTTTACTTAAAAATGATCAACTTTCTTTGTTCAATTCAATCAGTATGTTTAACTAACAATTTATTGTGTATACGTATATGTCAGTGCGCCCCAGGGTGGCTGTGGCTACAATGTAGCTGCCATCACCAGTGTGTGAATGTGTGCGTGAATGGGTGGATGACTGGATATGTAAAGCGCTTTGGGGTCCTTAGGGACTAGTAAAGCTCTATATCAATACAGGCCATTTACCATTTATACATACTGTAGGCTAACACCGTCAGCGGTCAGCTATACTCGAGGTATAACTTCAGTTGTTTTTTGTTAATTTTATCAAGCTATTTTACTTTTTTATCCATACTGTAAGCTAACAGATTCAGCTGCTTATGCATACTACAGAGACTTTCTGACTTTCTGTAATCATTAGTATTAGCTATTGATTTCAGTTGTTGGTCATCATTTTAATGATTTATTTCAACTTTTTATTTATTTTTTATTTTTGGTCAATTAATCACATTTAAGTCATTTATGTATTTGCTTTAAACTGTTCTAAAAAAGACAAACAAAAACCATCAAAGGTGACGGTACAGTCAGCTTATTTTAGCTTGTGTGCAGGCAAGAAAAAATGGTGTTGTAGTCCACACCTGTTGTGGAGTGAAAATGTCGTCATTAAATTTATTTTTATTACAAAAACAAACCAAAAAAGGCACAAGGAGGCTGAATTGAGGACAAAAATATATTCATTATACTGCTAATACAGCTGTTTGCAAACATCTGCACAAGGTTCTCTGCTAATGCAGAGCTAGCAGAGAACCAGGAGCGAGTGTATGCTGACCCTAAGCCTGCAGCCAGATCCTGATCTTCAGCAGATAACAAAGACAGGTTTACAGCACTGTAACCTCCATTTCTACCTGTGCATGTTTCTACTCAAGAAACACATTGCATGAACACTTTGAAGTCTCTTTGAGCTGTTTTGCAACATTACTTTGTGTTGTCAGCTCTAAGTTCAAACGCTAAAAGAAAGGTCAGAGGTGTGTCATCAGCATATTCATTTGCGTCAGTGTGTGGGACGCTAGTCTGAGGTTTATACTGACAACTGTTAAATATGTGACAATAAATTTTAGGACATGTCACAATGTACCAGAAAATAATGCAGTGAGCTGTGTAACAAATTACTTTCTTCAGGGAGTAATTAAGTAATGTGTGATACATTGCGCTTTTTTTTTTTTTTAAATAATAGCCCCAACACTGCTTTTAATTCAATGATAACTTTTCTGCTGAAAGACATTAATCTCTTTTTAAGTCTGCCTGAGATTACATTTCACTGTGTGTTATACTTGTATAACTATGCATGTGACAAATAAAGAACCTTGAACCTTGAGATGATTATCCTGCAGTGCAATGAGTATTGCAGTACTCGGTATACAGAAGTAATACATCATTAACTACTATGATATTTTCTACTTATGTTCAACCAAGCCTTAAAGTCAGGTTTAGGGTTATCCAGGTTAGGCAGTTTACAAAAAGGAGGGTTAGCGTCATGTTAACCCATGAAATTCAAATGAAATGGTAGTTGATAAGCTGCAGGCTGAGGTAATATCACTCGGCGCATAGCTGAAATGTCTTTTTGTTTATTTAAAAGGTTATTGTACTGTGTGATGTGGAGTATTTCCACATATTTGGGGACAACCTTATTCATCTTAGACTGGAGAGTTATTTCAAGTTTTGCAGGCTTTTGTAGATAATTATACATGCATTATCTATGAGTGACTCCACACTCCTGTCAGATTGTATTACTCACACCCCAAGTGCAGGCTGTTAAATCTACTGTACACCTATTCAACTTCAAAATGCTGGGCAGGGTTGGAGAAGAGAAGTGCTGGACTCATCTCACTGGCGAATTGTTTCTTTTTTTAAAACACACACACACTTGAATTAGAGCATTTTAGAGTGTTGGGTCAGGCACAGTGCAGGGTCCCTGGAGCTGTTTAGCAGCTAAGTGGCCATAATGCATTTAGTGTAAAGTGACTGGGATTGGGGGGGCTTAGCCACAGCTCTCCGTCTCATTCTTAGAAAGTGCTCAGAGGTGTTAATACCGTCCGGATTTATGCCGCTCATTCACAAGCAGCTCGACTTCTGCGACAAACAGCCGTTCTCAGTCTGAGAAGCTGTCCAACAATTTCTTTTTTTTTTCTTACATGATTTATACCTGTCTCTTTGTCTCCCTTCCCCCCTCTCTTTGCAGTCTCCTGTCCTTCTTTATTCACTCCACCTGTCTCACTTCCACCTTTCCTTCACATTTTGATTTCCAGCCTCACTCTAAGCATTGCAGAGACTTAAATCTCGGGTTTCCGTCTCACTCTAATGTCTCTCGACGGCGCCTTACGAAACCAGCCACCCCTCAAAGTTGCTACTCGCCCTACATTTCTTGAATACACACTTGTCTACAGTGAATGAGCAGAGGAAGAGACTGCAGTGCTTCACTATACAGGGTGTTGATGTCTGGAGATCCCACTCACTCTTAAGTGTGTGTGTGTGTATCTGATTTGCGAGTCACAGGTTCTTCATATGTGTACAGTTAATAGATGAAAGCTAAGCCCGAGCATGCGTGTGCAACCTAACACTTAGAATAAACCTGTGTTCTGTTTGTTGTATGTGCAACAGTGCCTGTTTGCATGCTCGAAGAGGCTGTACACACACAAAAGTCGGTGCGTATATATGTGTGTGTGCTACAATCACGCACAGCTTATGTAACGCCCAGGCATGTTATAACTTCACTGCGCCTGCTGTGTGTGTGTAGGTGCCTGTGTTTATGTGTGTGCCCAGTTGTGTGTAGCTATGGAAGCGTGCCCGCTCGCCTGTGTGTACATGTGCGTGTGAGTGCGCCAGACAGACTGCAATGCCGCAACCAGCCAGCCAGCCAGCTCTGTATCATCACTGACCATGCTCGCCATCTGTGCCTGCAAGCTATAGAAACGGCGTGCCGCACTGCTACACAGCAACGCCATTAGTGTCTTAGGAAACTATGCCTCTGTGCTTCCATCACGTTCCGTGTTGTGCTGTATTCCTCAGGGTATATGCTCCTGCAAACATCTCCCACAGTGTATGTGTGTGTTTGTGCAGGGAGGCCCACAGTGTATATGGGTCACTCTCTCAGGAGCCATAATCCCATGTTTGGACCAACTTACTCACTGGGGTTTCACTCCTTCTGTTTGGCCAAGCTGATGGCAACAAGCATAATGACCTCACCACACCACTCGGTCATTGGCCTGCAGACCTCGGGCCTCTCAGCCAATAACAGATGGCTCTGGTGACGTATAGCCTTCAGTGGCTGTCCTGATTGGCTGAGGAGGCGGGACAAAGGGGCACTGTGCTTTTTAGAGCGCCTCTGATTTGCTTAGAGGGTGAAAGAAGAATGGAAGAAGGGAAGGGAGAGAAAGCATGAGAATTTGGGAGTTGGTGTTTTTTTCTGTGTGGCTCCTGTTGAAACTACACTCAACCTGTGGCTTACATGGATCACAGTGCAGCTGTGCAACACATGGGAACACATGCATATACATAAATAGCACACATGCAGCTAACGAAGCGTACTAAATCTGCTTTAGAAACTATGAGCTGAAGCTGGTGACCTGACATTTTGATCTTTATTAAATCTGATAATGCCATGGCAGTGATTTTTTTTCTTCACTGTCCACTAAAAGAAAGTCTAACCTTTAGTTTGACAAGCCACAGCCCATTTTTCTGCATTAATGTTTATAGCCAAATGTAAACGATAAATAATAAATAAATAAATAAAGGCAGGAGGAGAGAAAGGTTTCAGTCCCGTCCTGCGTGCCTGTATAGAGTCGCAGACATACCCACATAGCAGCTCTATTGGACGCAGCAGCCTTGCTCTCCGAACAGCTGTTCTGTGTTTTCCCACACTGTGATTGGCCACGATGCGCCGTCAATCAAATTTACTTTGACGTGCGGCCTCGCCCCTACTCGCCTTACGCGGCATCCTATTGGCTACTGTACGCGTTCGTGTTCCGCGATTGGTCGGACGGACTGGTTGTCAAGGCTTTGGGGCTTCATTCACCATTTTGCGACTGTAGTGTAGAATGTACAGGGCAGTAGTTTTTCCTCCTTTTAAGTTGCTTTGCCGGAGAAACATGAACGGCCGCTAACTGGCAGCTGCGGACGACTGGACACCCTGCCCTATTTTACCCAGCAAACTCATCAGAGAAACACACCGGGGTACTATACATGAGCTCTGGTGAGTACAGGCTGCCTACAAATCTTCTCCTGCAGCACTGCAGTGGGGCTTGTTGTGCGTTTGCTAACGTTGTTCATGTTTACCACAAACAGTATTAGCAGAGGAGCTGATCAGCACAGTTTGCGATATCTGGGTGGCCTGCGAAGAGACCGGAATGGGTGTCTTCTGCGAGAAAAAAAACAGGGAGCGGTGCGGCTTAGGCATAGTGAGCCTGAAACTTTTCCACGAGAAAATAGAACGCCATAACAGCCGTTGGACTTTCCAGAAACAGCGCTTATTTACGAAAAACCTCGAAAACTCCTCGCTTGTCATGCTTTCTTCCTGTTTTTTATTAAATCAGCGTGGCCATTTGGATTGATATGTGGTTTTAAAGCGCTTGTAGAGGCCTTTTTTTTCTCCCCTTGGGCTAGTTTGTGGCAACACACTGACACTAACCCCCCTCAAACCACCCCATGTAACACGGCTGCAATTATGCTAATAACGACGAGGGTGAATACTAAATTATCCTGGCAGCTTCAGCTATATTTTCACACGGTTGTCACTTTCGGATGGGCCAAACAAACGACTTTGTGTAGCTGTTTGTCGCTTTAAGGTCGTGTAAGCTGGCAGATATGGGCCATATATGGTGGCATTAAGGGTCAGTATGCCCGTTAAACCGGTTATTTCCCGGTTACGGTGAGTAGAGGATTTCCAAGAGGCCTTGTGTGTTTAGTTGAGGCCTGGTCGGTGCACGCCACGGCCTGCAGTGTTTGGAGTAAAACTGGTAGTAATCGCGGTACTACGAGGGCTTGACACGGCACTATCCAGCTAAAGCAGAGGTGACATCACCGCTTGTTGTTTGCATTTTGTGCTCTGGGGCCTTGTCTTGGTAAAGTTAACAGCTGTTATCTGCTCGGGTTTATGATTATGCATATATTGACCTGCCCTATCGTCATTACAGCTCTGTAGTAAGCCTGTTATGAACTTGAAAAAAACTTTTTAGATATCTGTCCACTAAATGTGGATTAGAAACGCACTTAGAAGGGACTGAAAGTTCACTCTGTCTATATTGTCATAGATATTACATTTTTGTATGCACACTTACTAGGAGTGTACTTGAGGTGCCACAATAACCTCAGTATTTAAGAAAATGAACATGTCAGTAATGCATGCATTGTAATATGGTAAATAATAGGTGAATTATTCTATTTTATATTATTTTTAGTATTACAGACTCTCATGCCCATCTCCATTCATAGGTATTTTGGTTTTCATTAATTTGCGAGAAAAGTCAATGTATAGTAAACAAAATTATAGATGCATTTGTCTTATAGCATTGCTTCTTATTTTAGTATTGGCCTACCCTGCCCAAATAACTTTGTAGACGTGCTGTGCAATGTAAGAACACTATCGGATATCATTTATTACAATGCGGGTTAATTAAATCTGGTTACGAGAGCCAAAATATCTGTAAGAGTTCACCTCTTGACACTGTAATCTCTCGCAGCTTCTAATAGTAAACACTAAGTGTGACCATAAACATCCTGTAGGGCATACAGTTTTGTATGTATGGGGAATATATGTCCTAGAAGGGTCACAAAAACCATGATTTTGAAAATTAAATATCAATAATGTGTAGTTCTTTTTTAACCAATATAATCCAAAGCTGCAGGTGTCTTCCATCATATTATGCTTATACATATGACCTGCCCTGTTGTTATTGTAGTTTTGTAGTGATCCTGATATGAACTTTAATCATAGGCTCTGCATATAAGAAAACTAAAGGATATTACACATTGAAGACATCATAAGGGACCGGTGTCTCTAAAAGGTCACAGCTTGACATTAGAGATCCTTGCCACATATTGTAGTGAGGTTTATGGCAGTGTTGGCATAAATGTTATTGAGGACATAACGTTTTGTGTGCACCAGGAATATATGTACTAGACAAGTCACGATAACCATGATTGTATTGTAAACACCTGCATTTTCAAACTCTCTCATAACCTCCATGCACTTCTAGTTTCATTAAAATATATTTTAACTACTTGCAGGATATCTATTTCAGTGTATAAAATGCCTAGAAAAAAATGAAAAATGGTTCAGTGTAACACAGACTAATTTCCTTTCCTATACTTGGACCCATGGTGCTTTTACATGCACTGGCATGCATACACCCCTCCTCAAGACTCTTTCCAAGCTAGGAAAACCTTGTTTGGGGTCATTTCTGATAAGACTGGGAATGTTTTATATCGATTAAAGTAAAGTAAAAATCACCCTATGATTCAGTTCATGCGTGATTTCATAATGATTTTGGCACAGTTATGCTAGAAAAGTGGCTTACACTTGAACAGACGCCTATTCAGACTAAATGATCCGTCAGTCATGTTTTTCTCTTTCTCTCATATGACTTATATCAGCTCCATGGGGCCTACAGTCGGTATTCACAACAGCTCAAATGCTATTCTGCAAGTAAATTACGACTGAACTTGTTACCCCGCTCTTTATGTGCGCCTGATGATTACATGAATGTGAAACATTAAAGCCACAGACCTACTTTACCTCCCATATGGACTCCCTTGCACCATATTTCACTGAGGTTACTGTGTGTTGTGTCATTTTGCCTTTAAGCTCTTATCGTACGGCCCATGACTCTGACACCAGCTGTTGTACACAGTGCACTACTGAGTAAACACATGTAGCATACCTCTATCGTGACCAAGTAAGGCCAGCTGCCAAATTATTTTATGGTGTCTGCTGTACAGTTGTCTGTCCTAAATAGGGATTTACATAGAGGCCAGTGATGGCTATGAGCTCTCAACCTCTCCGTGTGCACTATCAGCTATCAGCACATAGATGTTTGCTTTGTGTGATGTGTGTGTATGTGCGTGTGGCCTTGAGACAGGCGGCACTCATCTCTGAAAATGGATTTCTCTCCAGCCGATATGATGTGTCAGATATTAAAAGGACCTGAATGAATGCAAGCCTTCACAGACAAACAGGAAGGCAGCAAAAGGGAACAGAGACGAGCAGACAGAGAGACCGAGACTAGTGGGAGGACGAATGTAGAAACAGGGACAGGCAGGCAGACATGTAAGTTAACAGCCAAACTGTCACTGACAAGTAGACATGCCTAGTGGTTGGTTGATAGACATCATAACAGAACATTTTGACAGTGACCATCACAGCTGGAGTGAGGAATTACATGACAGAGTATATAAGGGCTGTGTTGACACTCCCTCTTATATACATGTTTCTGTATCTATGGAGACTTCACTTCCCAAAGAGATAAGCTAGAGACCACAGCAGCTACAGCCTGAGGCTAGTCCAGCGCACACCAGCCACACAGCAAACAAACCAGCTAAGTGATCACAGCTAAATCAATCTGTTTTACTTTCTAAACGTGAGTCTGAGCTGTGAATGAGGCTGGTGCAGAATAAGAGATAATCTGAATGACTCTGGCACGGCTAAGAGCGCTGCTGAATGACTCTGGTGTGGAATAGCAATTATTGTGAACAACTCTGTGTTTCTGGATGACTGCGGCACATAAACGAGTATAGAGACTAAGTGGAAGGAGAGGAAGGAAAACGGGGGAGATGAGAGGTAAAAAAAAAACCAAACAAACAAAAATCGATATTGTGGAAAGAGCGAATGCAGGCAAGGAGGATAAGAAAGAAAGCATAGCAAAGAGAGAGGGAGGAATAAAGTAACGGGAAGTTAGGTAATGGTCTTCCACAGGAAATGGAGTTAGTTGTAGGGGCGGATTGCTCTGCTTTGAAATACATAGATAAAGGTCGCCACTGAGAAAGAGAGAGAGAGAGAGAGAGAGAGAGAGAGAAAGGGAGGGTTTCAGTATGTGAGCAAAGAAGGAATTCCCCCGCCTCTACTGCCCGGGCCAAGAAGTAGTGTGTGCGTGAGTGTGTGAGAGAGGATTGCATGCAGAAAGGCTTGTCTGGGCAAATTGCAGAGTGCTCCTCACTATTTCCATGCTGCGCTGTAAGCCTACATTGTGTTTATCCTACAATATGGCCTCCTGTTTTCAATATGTACCTGGTATGGCTGTAGGTCTTGTGTAATGTGAGTAGAAACTGTTATGTAATGAATTAATGTGTAATGAATTTGTAGATGAGTCATGTTCATTACTACTCTAATACGATGGTGCATCATTTAGCGGGGAATACATTTCTTTAAATTATAATTTAACTGTTTGTTACAATTATTTTTTTTAATATCGTTGCTGTGTTTTTGTTTTTGACTATTTGCCGTTTTTAGAATGTTTTCAGAAATTACTTTGAGTTGTGTTTCTGTCTGAGTGTCTTTGCTGCACAGGAAACCCACACTCACCTGTTCTTCTCCTCTTTTCAGAGTCTCTGGAATAAGGTGGGCAAGTGCCGAAGTCGCGCAACGAACACGAGACAGGATGAGAGTGAGAGGGCCTGGCAGAGAAAGAAAATAGAGTGAAAGGAAAGGAGGAGGAAATAGCGCAAGAGAGGAACGTCAAGGAGAATCTCTGGGATAAATAAATAAAAGAGTTGTTTTGAGAAAAAGGAACTAGATGAAAAGATGAAGCCAATAAAAAAGCGCTCCCCTCCCTCCACCCGGGCTAAAGGAGGAAAGCGGCGAGGAGCGGGGGATACCTTGGAAGGAGGAGAGAAGAGAGACTCAGATGAGAACAGAGACAGAAGCAGATCTCCGCAAAACCGAACTCCCTCCTCCTCGTTATCTTCTAACTCACATTCAGAGTCTCCACAGGCGGACACATCCAGAGCGCGGGACTCTTCAGATGGGGAGGGGAGGTCTGCTGCCAGCAGCGGTGGTGGCAGCAGCCACTGTGACAGCAGCGGCAGCAGTTGTAGTAACAGTAGCACACCAAGCGCCAACAACAGTCCAAACCCCGCCTCCAGCCGGAAAACAGCCACCTTCAAGGCCCGCGTCCCCAAAAAGAAGTACACCTCCGAACACTGCTCATCTAATACTGCTGGTAACTATAGCAACCCTGCATCCAGCACGCCCCCTCCTTTTTCTCTGAGCCAGGAGTCAGCGGGTCCAGGAATCGACATCAGCGTCTCGCATTCTGACGGAAACGGTCAGAGTAGGAGCTTGATGGATGACTTCCACAGTCGTACCACCAGCAGGGAGGGGTCTCAGGACTCCCCGGGACCGCCAACCCTGTCGCTTGGAGGGGAAAAACCCAGAGGAGGTGAAGGAGTGACAGATGCAGAGCAGGTGTCCCCAAGCCCGCTGCCCCGCTGCTCCTCAACAGACACAGCCAGCGAGCACTCGGCTGACCTGGAGGTAGTTGGTGACACACCCCCTCAGATGTCGACACACAGAACGTCTAGTCTCCCTGACGCACTGTCCGATGCTCTGGCCAAAGGCCTGAAGAATCAGCGGATCCTCGCCCGCCAGCTCAGGAGAAGAAGTGATGAGGAGGGAGGAAGTGACAGGAGGCACGACTTGGTATTCCGGGCTGGCGTGGTCCGTAACGTCAGTGGTGAATATGGAAGCCTGGAGGTTCAGCTGAACGGGGAGAAGACGTTATGCCGCTATCCTTACCGACATGAGAGCCCCCCAGGGGTGGTGGACATTATCCTAGATGCCCCACCTCCTGGTGTGCATCCAGTACCTATAGGCACCCGTGTCTGTGTACCATTTGGGAACGACGAGGGCAGCGAGAGCCAATGGCAATGGTACCGAGAAGGTGTGGTGACACAGGTAGACCCACACCCTGCGGTGGCTAACCGCTACCGTGTCCTGCTGTCTGAAGAAAGGCCTCACTCTCTAGATGATGAAGAAAACAACAGGGGTGCTACCCAGGCAGTATGGGTCTCCAGACAAACACTCCGGCTTCTGGTGCCACCCTGGGACTTGGATTTGCCTTCTGCTGGTGGACATGAAGTAGAAGAGGGGGTAAGAGACAAGGAGAGAGATCGGGAGGAAAGGGAAGAGATGGATGTGGAGGTGAGACGTTTGAGTCGACAAATGACCCCGAGCATGGGATCAATGTTAGGGAGAGGAATGCCCTACCCAGGAATGGTTCCCGTTTCCTCCACATCGGGCCACAGCATCACCTCGCCCGTTACGCCGACTTCAGTCCTCAGCCTGGCTCCTGGGCGAGAGAGGGAAATCGAGAAGGACTTGGAGTGGGAGTCACAGAGAAACCATGGAAGAGAGAGGGAAAGAGAGCGAGAAAGGGAAAACAGTGTAAAGCAGCAGCAGCAGCATCACCCATATATGCCCCTCACCCCTGAAGAAGACATGGAAGTGTCCGGCATCAACATGGTCCAAGTGGGGCAGATTATATCTGGGGGCAAGCCTATGGCAGTTCCCCAACATCGTCACATTGTTTCTAAGACCCCGTCTGGCTACCTCAACCCCCATCCCCACTTGTCTGTGGTGCGAGGCATCGGGATTCCCCCTGCTCACATGACCTTGAATCCCCACCCCTCTCCTTCACCTGTCCTGTTAGGCCTTGACCCAGCAGCTGCAGCAGCCGCAGCAGCTGGAGCTGTCATTACCACCCCTCAGCTCCATCCTCTCCCTCCCATCACCTCTTCCACTACATCCTCCTCCAGAGTGGATAAGACATCAGGGGGAGGTTCTGCCAGCAGTGGAGCAGGTGGTGGATCCGGATCAGGTTCGACATCCTCCTCCTCGTCACGTTCCCGGACTCCGCTGACAGCTGCCCAGCAAAAATACAAGAAGGGAGACGTGGTGTGCACGCCGACAGGTATCCGAAAGAAGTTCAACGGGAAGCAGTGGAGGAGACTGTGCTCTCGGGAGGGCTGCTCCAAAGAGTCCCAGCGGCGAGGGTACTGCTCCAGACACCTCTCCATGAGGACCAAGGAGATGGAAGCCAGTGGAGGGGGTCGGGATCGGGGCGGCGCCAGCAGCACAGGGACCCTAACACCATCTGACCTCCGACTCAGCGGTGGGAGAGCCAGTTCAGAGTTTGACTGGGATGAGACATCACGGGAGAGCAGTGAGGCCAGCAGCCGTGGAGGAGACTCTCGCCCCCGCCTCGTCCTTCCCTCGCTGCTCCCCCAGGACCTTTCTCGCTTCGACTTCGATGAATGTGAGGCGGCAACTATGCTCGTCTCTCTCGGGGGCTCTCGTTCTGGCACGCCTTCATTCTCCCCCATCTCCAACCAGTCACCCTTCTCACCCACGCCATCCCCATCACCCTCTCCGCTCTTCGGTTTCCGCCCTGCCAATTTCAGCCCCATCAATGCTACTGCCTCACTTACCCCACGCCGCCCCCGACAGCTAAGCGGCACTAAGATGGGTACGCCAGGCGCAGAGAGAGAGCGCCATCTGTCAGGGATTGTGCCCACTTTTCAGACCAACCTGACTTTTACAGTCCCGATGAGCCCCAGCAAGAGGAAGTTCGACTCCCACCCGCCCCCACCGCTACCTGCTGTCCAGGACTACCAGACCAAACCTGAACAACAGCAGCTGGTGGGTGTTGGGGTGGTGGGAGACCCACCCATGGGCCATAGCCCTGCTGCCTTCAGAGTGCTCTCCCCCCAGAGTCAGCCCACAACACCTTCCTCACTTTCCTTCTCTCGTCCTCGTAGCGCCACCAGCAGGCCACCATCCTCTGCCGCCTCCACGCCTCCACCGATGTTAGTCTCTCCAACTCCTCCTTCACCACTTCCCCAGGAGCCGTCCCCACGCCGCATCGTGCCCCTCCGGGACTCCCCAGTCATTGTACGCAACCCAGATGTCCCCTTGGCCAAATTCTCCGATGGCCCGTCGGGAAAGAGAGAGAGAAGCAGGTCGAGGGAGCACAGCCAGCACACAGCTCCCCCAGGCCTGCAGGCCCCCGTCCCCATCAACGGGGCAGCCACCAACGGGGCAGTTCTCCTCCGCAATCCCACATCCACGCTCGTCCTGGTCACATCCAGCTCGGTAAGGGCGTCATTCTTTTTTTTGTGATATATGACTATGTACTGCATAGGGTCATAGGTTTGTATTTTATATCTCTAATATTTTAATTATGTCTTTATTAGCTCATATTATAGAGCATTTATAGGTGTTAGGGCAACAGAAATAAAGTGAGAAAGCTTTCTTAAATAACATACAACTGGTGTGACCACCATTTTCCTTCCAAAGAGTGATTGTCAAGCTAAAAAGAGCTCACATCCCAAACCCCACAGTTTTTATCAGTTTACAATGAAAAGGATCCGAGCTGTATTTTAGTAAAATAAATATAAGAAACCTTTGTTTGAGTGTTTTACTTATAATGATTCATTCAGCTTGTTTTCACTCCATATTTCTTACACCAGTTTGGCCCCAGTGGAGCTTAGTCTAGTCCTTCCTTCTCTTGAATTAATAAAATGTTACTTGCCTTGTGGTTTTCAAATTGCTGAAAACAAAAGATCAAACAAAATACATTTAAAAGTGAGAAACAATACCTCTTTCCATGACAGTTACTCAAGAAAATCCTGAAACCTTGAACACTTTAATGTAGCGACTTGTCATTTACTTTCTGCCAAATTTTGAACCACATCACTGTGTAGAAGGAAGCAAACATCCAACCGTAAGCATTAATGGTGACCACTCTGCTAAGCTGCCATGTTTGCCATCTGAGCACTTCTTCTGACTGGCCGGTGTGCTTCAGTTGGAAGAAAACATCAATGTTTGTGATTTTTTTTTTTGAGTAACTGCGTCACAGGGCTGTAGACTTAATTGAATTTTAATTTAGAGTAAAATTTTGGTTTCTCGCAGTAATAAAAACAAGACAATTGAGACAAAACACTTATTGTCCCACAATCTATTTTGCTGCAATGTTCTCCAGCCCATCGTTTTCCTTTACTTTTTCCTCTCCGTGACAGTCCAGAGTCACTCTCCAATAGACTGCAGGAGGTTTAGTTCATATGTATTTATTATTTATTTAGTTTTTAGTTAGTTTTTTGGTAAGTGAGGATCCCTAATGGCTTATGATTTCCAGAAAGAGATTTTCACATGTATTTTTGCCATTTTGCCTCTGTCAGTGAGAGGGTGGCTGTGGCTACAATGTAGCTGCCATCACCAGTGTGTGAATGTGTGTGTGAATGGGTGGATGACTGGTTGTGTAAAGCGCTTTGGGGTCCTTAGGGACTAGTAAAAAGCGCTATAAAAATACAGGCCATTTACCATTTACTTTGTTACCACAAACGTTTAATGTCATTATATTGAATAAAAGGCGTGTGACTTCTTGACAACTCATACCAAAGCGATCTAGATGGACAAGTGAAACTATAGGCCAAAGACAAAATAAGTAATTTCGAGGTGAACTGTCTCTTTAAAACAGCAACAATTTATGCAGGTCGATGTTTGTTTTAAAGATATGACTGGTAGACTGGTTTGCGTGCATTCCCAGACTGACTTCATGACGTTGACGTCAAGTCTCTGTTGGGGCCTGCTTGTTCCAAAGGTTGTTCTAACTAAAGAATAAATTTGGGACCAATCAGGTGCCTCTGATGATATTCGTGATGAATAAGAATCTCACCCTCTAAAATAGCCTACAATTGTGCATGGGACTGCACATCATTATCACCTAAACCTTGTACATTTTGTATTTTGAGCTGTGACACCCGGAGTTGGGCTAAGGAATCCATTAAAATGAGATTAAACAGTTTTGAAACCATTTCACACCTGGAAATGGCGTTACCAGCTGCAGGATGTTTTGAATAATCCGAGTTTCCTTAAAATACTATAAATATTTTTTTTGATGTCTCTTCCCCAGTCCTTGACTCCAGCCACAGGGGGCCACGCTTCCCTCTCCAGCCCCTCCACTCCTGGGTCCATGTCTTCTTCATCAAGCTCTGTGTTCTCCTCGTCTGGTTCCGGAGGCAGGGAGAGGGAGAGGAAACCCGAAGGGCATCAAGACGCCAGTGGTGGGGCGCTGCCACAGCCGGTAGCCTGTCATCCCACACCAACAGCCCTGCTGCCCCTCATACTACCAGCAGAGTCGCCTCACCCTGCTCCACGCAAGCAAATCATCATGGGACGCCCAGGGACCGGTAAGAAACGAGGGGAGGGGGAATGGGAGATCATTTCTTTGTGGTCTGAACCTCTGTTCTGTCAGATTTAGAGTCAGCTGAGCCACACAGCCTAAAGTGTGAAGAGATGTGCAGCTTGTGTCTTATGCACTCTGGCCCAGTACCTCTCACTTTCAGTATCTCTCTAGGATTACAGCTGTGTCATCAATGCTTTGGCTATGACTCACGTACACTTTACTATTGTTCCCTTGCTTTCAGATGGCTTTTTGTTTGTTTGTTTTTTTCTCTTTGTTTCTGTTTTCAGAAAGTTTATAAGAATTTTTCCACTGCTTTGGGCTTCGCAGAGGACTGGTATCTTCTTAGAAATGCTAGAATTTCACTTTTAAAATATTACACAGGCTACAACACGGAAAAGCAATTCCATTAATGTGAAATATACTCTTAGCAAAGAAGTGGAAGAGTCACAGATGAATAAAATACAGATGAAGTGGTTGTTTGTGTTTATTCAGAGGCATTTTCGACCCAAACTTTAGTTCATTTTAGGTCATACATGCAGTTTTGTTGTAGACTAAGGATATCGTACAGTACAGGGCTTTCAATTTGAATTTTAAAAAAGAATGCCTCCTTTAATTACTTCCCACAGGGGGAATTTATACACTTTGGGGACAGGATACTACATTGTTCTGTTCTTACCTCAGTCTGTGTTGTCGTTCTTCACAGAGTAAATCATTGCCATTCATCATTTCTACTGTCCGTGTGTTTTATGGCTTTCTTTTCCTCTTGCCTCCATGGCTGCGCTGGTAGTTTTCTGGCTTAGCTCGCTCTTAATGGCCATGCATTCATTACTGGTTCTGCTCAACATTATTATATCTCTGCAACTGTGTGTTAGAATGTCCCACTTTATATGTGCAGGAATTGTTTAAATCATATGCAACACCCACAATCCCACCCTGACATTCCAGCGGTGATATATTTATTTTCCTTTTGGTTATCAATGTTGTCTTAAATTGTACCATCGGGAGAGCCTTTACAATACCAGCTGTGCTGTAGTTGTGTGAAGATGCCGTTTTGCATGAGGGAGAAAGGAAAGAGAGATTGAGTGCTTGTCCATAATTGGTAAACATAATGAGGTCTGTAAGCTGATACTTATAAGAAAGAAGAATAGCTTAGAAAACTGCTTTCTAATGAGGCTTCTATATCAAGCAGGGTTCAGAAGTAGTGAACTCCATGGTTCTCTAAAGGTTGTAGGCCTGTTATAAATCACTCTTACTAAAGTCTAATAAGACGTGGATAACTCCGGTTCTCAATTGAGACAGATTGTGCCACTAATTATATTCCATTTAAGAGTCAACAGTACCTCACAGATTATCCATTATAGGGCAGATTTGCTAATGACAGAGAAAGTGCAAAACCCCCAATGACTGTTGGGATTTACAAAAGAGGTGCAGTGAAAAGTTAGCAATATTTGGAGGGGTAATTTTATACTCAATGAGGTGTTCAGTGCTCGAAATGGTTGCAGTAGTTGCCACTATGAGTGTTTTTGAAATTTCAGGAGAATCAGGGATATTTTCCATCCTTGTCCTTCCTCACATGGAGTGAATAGTCTGTTTCAAACACATTTGCATTACTGGAACTACGCCTTGTGGTTTAGGTGAAGGAGCTGCCTGCAGAGAGCACGCAGGAGGGAGTGCACATGACACCCACTCTTTAGTAATGAATGCACTGGACAATTATCTGCTCTATTCTCACATCAGCACAATCTGACATCGCACAGATGTTGTATTGGGGAGCTGGCAGGTTGAAGACTGGCAAATGCCCGATCTGCATGTGTCAGACTTTTGCATTCTCACGTGGATTTCTGTTGGGTGATGTGAAGAATTCAGGGCTGCACTGCATGTGTGAAAACAGCTAATTTATTTGGAATAAGTGCGTAATCGCTGATCAAGTCTGAGTGTGTGCCTTGGCTATCCACTGGCAGTAAATTTAGTCTTTAAAGTAAGGGCGCAGTTGAAAGTACCAAGTAGAAAGCTTCACTTGAGTTGTTAGCAGATTACTCGAACCTTCATCAAGCGTGCTCTTGGTGGATTATGCTGGTGATTACTGAAATGAATCAGCTCTTCCTGTGTTCATAAATCGCCCGCCTCAACTTTCCCCTTCCTCTGGACCTTATTTGTGATTTTAGCTGCACACTAATGTGCACTCTGTAAGCTGGATTTATAGTACTATGTTAAATCTGTGGTTTAAAATCTATGCTACAGCCTACAGTGTAGCTTGATCTCCACAGAAATGTAACTACAGGTTACAGCGACATGGATCTCACAAACTGTGACAGGTCTGTTCAGTAATAATATGCAGCGCAAATGCATTTTCTTTTCTTAGGGTTTTAGTTTTAGCTATCTTGCTCAGTAGGCTGTAGATGTTAGTTTTTTGCCAGTGTAGACATATACACAGAATATGTGTAGACTCTGTTTGTTGTGAATCCTTTTCTCCTTCCTGTGATTCAGTAATAGTAACTGTTGTTAAAGATTTATTAGCTCCAAGCCCATCATGAACGGCTCGTTTTCACTCCTGATGGCAGAGCAATGCAGACACACCAGGGTGCACCAAATATAAATGCAAACAGTACTGCACTACTACTACAAATTAGTATTGCAATATTCTAACTGTTGTTATCTATGTGCACTAAAGATGGGGACGTAACAATTCTGAAGCTAAGACCAAAACCTCAGTAAAATATTTTGCATTATCCATTGTTCCCTGACCCAAAGCAGAGCTGCTCGCCTGACGAAAGCTGTAATGTTCATGCAGTGAGGGAAATATAAACACATCAGAATGACTGAGTTTATTCTTTGTTTAAGAGCTAATTATGATCAAGTGATGTGGACTGTGGTAAAAAATGATTCTCTATTTTTTGTTGTTGCTTGTGTAATAACCAGAGTTGCTTACAGTTTTGTATATTTTTATTAGTTACATTGTTTAAAAATGTTTTGTTTCTATTTAGTTTTATTTAGTTTTTGCTAGTTTCAGTTTTGGTGATTATTATAATTAGGGGCAGATTTAAAGAGTCCAGAATAGCTGGGTGATAGGTTACAGTCATGCAGTGATCCCGGTCTGAGATGACTCTAGTTGTGTTGGCAAATGTAACCGTGCTGACAAAGACTAAAACTATAAAACTGGGGAAAATTTGCCGAGAATTTTATTTTATTTTCAGTAGTTTTGTTTTCTTTCTTTTCTTTCTTTCTTTTTCAAAATCTAATTCTTATCTTTATTTCAGTTAAGTAAAAGGGTTTTTTTTCACAGCAACTTTTAGATTACTGTGTTTAGTTCACTATTATAACCTTGGTTTGAACTAAGCTGTAGTTTTTGCAACACAACTACTAGGCAGCTAGGAAGAAACCAGAGCACCAGCACTGATCCAACAGAAATTGTTTATAACACATGAGACAGAAAGTAAAATTAATATCATTTTCTAATTTCACTCGACTGTGACTCTTCTACCAGAAGCTGAGACCAGTTTAAATGAATCTTCTCACCCAGTCAGGTGGTGGGATGTAAGAAAATTGGCTAGCGAGAAATGTAGGTGCTTGGGTTCATCATCTACTTTGTGCTTGTTTCCATGCCAACTTTGTGATATTACAGCCTGGGCAAGCTCAGAAATGTTACTTTGAATATATGAATGACGAAGATTGTTTCCATTTAAAATGCCTGATTTCTCATTTTGTGTCATTTTGATGCAGCACTTTGTAAATCTGAAAACTGAAAGTGGAGGATATTGGCAATTTATAGGTTGGTTGGTTTCACGGTTGATAGTGAGATGATGTAGAAGCAGAATATTTTGCACAGGCAGTCACGTAGACGAGGATAAACATAGACATAGCTGCAGATTAGTTTAAGGCAGGGGTTCTTTAAGTTTTAACGACTGAATGAAGGGAGCCATGATACGAATGAAGGCTACAGAGGATAAATGCACACATCAGACAAAATAATGCTAAAAGCTGACATTTATTTATTAAACATGAAGATAACAGAAAGCTTCATGAGAACCTGCTGACAGAGAGAGTAAGAGATTGCCTGTATACCACATGAACACGTTATTTTTAATCATTAGTTTTATTGGGATTAGTATTAATATGCTTAAATGATTGGAGAAGTTTAGCACATCAACATAGCGTCTCTTACCTGTGGCCATTTCCTCCTGGCCAGAGTTTTCTTAAAGCCCGTCTCCATCTCCGTCTCTGACATGTCAAGGGTGGATTGCATGCGATCTTAGCTTGGACTTGTTGATGGTGGAGAAGGTTTTGTTTTATTTATATGTCAAACAGAGAGGCCACTCTCTTTGTATGCTTGTTTAAGTGCAGAGTGTCGACACTCGGAGTCCGTCAGTGCTACGTAGAGCTTTGTTCAAGGGGAGAGTGTCAAAAATATGTGCATTAGCTGGTAATGTTGGGTGCTTTTATTCATGTCTTTGTTCCTAAGTAAACAGCAGTTCTGATATATGTATAAAGAACGTCTTTGTCATAAAGTAAAAGTGTATTAACAGCAAAAATTGCGCAGTAGAGCCACTGTCTGTGGTTCTTTCTCTTCATCGTGAACTTTGCTTACATTTCCTTTCCTCTTTAAACAATTAATTAGCATTTGATCCACGTGTGATGTCATCCCCATCAGGCTATGTGTTTTTGGCTTTTTGGTATCTGTAGCCTTTGCATTAATTGTACTGGTTGTATCGTGTGTGCAAACAAAATGAAACCTTGAATCCTGCACAAGCCTGAAGGAGTCATTGAAACTCACTGAGGTCGATGAGTAATGGCCTTTACGGCCTATCGTGACTTCACTTCTTGGTCAGTCGCTCTAGTGTTAAGGTTGCTGGTTTATGTTTCAAAATGCATTTGTTGCTTTTAGGTTGTTTGTAATGCAGTACAGATCTTGGTATTTGTATTTTTCGGTGCTGTTTTTCAAAGGGGAGATAAAATCGCTTTCAATATTTGGTGTACCCACAGGTCAGTAAAATATTACTGAGGGCC